TTTTTTTATTTGTGTAGATACTTTAATACATTTTACTTTCGCAAACTAATGAAATTGTACAGATACATACCTTCTGTAGAGGTCAATGCGAAAGACTTTGATTTGAAGTATCTTATCAAAACACGAGCAAAGATGATTCAGTCAACTTCTGACGCAGAATCAAAGAAACTTGAGGTAATGCTTGAAGTCAAGTATCTTTGATTTTGTGACACTCAGTTGATTTTTATCAGTACAACACTATATCTCACTAAAAAGATTTCACTTAACAGAACGGCGCCTTCGGCTAAAAGTACAATCCTGATTCCTGCTGCACACTACATACACACTTCCTTTGGCTTTCTCAACAGCAGTTGCTGCTGAGTAAAACGGTTAGAAATAACACTTCACATTAATACCAGTTTATGTACACGAAGACTGACGAAGATTGAAATGAAAATGGGAAACTTTTCACACTAAACTCTTCAAAACTGCAGGGCGACCACGAGGATACGAGGATCTAGAAACTTCTATGAGTACTACTGAGTGATATAAGCCTAAATAGGTGGTGCATGGAAATATAAACAGGAAGACCCAATCATCGGTTTAGTTCACTACACCCTCTGCCAGGGAGCGCTGATGTCAGCGCTAACCGGAGTTGGGGGTCCTTATTTATTCTCTTGGTCCATGACTAAGCGCCATGGAAAAGCATTGCGAGTATAGGACGGAATGAGCCCGACGCCGATTCCGCCGCCAATCCAGGCCTCCCTCTACCTTCCTCCCCCTATGGCGCTTAGTTCCGTTTGACAGAGATACGTCCAAATGTTATAAGACATACCGCGCATTTCAGTGATGATTTGAATTTCATAAAGTTAAGATTCGATGGGGGAGAGGAGTCTTCATTTTTAACAAATTTAAGGTTTAGAATAAGCGGAAATTTTGAAATATCTCAATCAAAATACAAGTTTGAGCTATGGGAAAGAGTGTAAAATAACACACACGGATGCTTGATGTCAAGGTAAAGAATAAGGCAAAAAAATTCCATTGTAATCTTACTGATAATGTAGTTTCATTTTAAGCATAGATTTTTAAACAATTATATCTAAATCAATGGGAGTATTGATAACAGCCAGGGCCCATCACTGAAGGCGTGAAGCAATTATCCATCATCAAACTGACCTACTTACAGTGTCTTTATTAGGTACTCGTCTGACCTTCTATCAGTTTAAGTTCAGTCAATTTCTTTTAATTTAACTTCTTATCGTCCTTTAAAATTGAATCAAAGTAAATTAGGAAAATTCCATACATTCCACCATTTTTCCTAATGAAACGCAGGTAATTTTGCCATGGAATGCTTAATTTTTCGACCCAACTCGACAGGAGTTCCTGTACTAAAAAGTATGCGTCCCTAAACCAAGGTTCCTTTTAGAGGGTCCTATTTATGGAACTTTTCGGTATCCATAATTGTTGTACTTTCACATTTTGTGGTGCTCATAAAAGCTGATTCCGGATTAAGGTTGGACCGCTTTTTTGCGTGTATCAGCCCTGTTGGTTGAAATTAATCATTACCCACAATCTTTCATAAAAGTAAAGGAACACATTTAAGGTTTGGGATACAGTGACTGGCTATTTTCTATCCGCACCTTGTTATGTATTGATAATGAAATGGGAAGTGATAATTCTCGATGGTCCTGACAAAGAGCTCGATTTATATAGATTTACGGTCACAGGCGCAGAATTTAGCTTTCTTTGTATCTAGAAGATTTTTCTTCCGTAAGGATCCATGAAAATTATGTAAATTATAATTTCAAATACCTATTCTGATGCAATCAGATAAAATGTCTGCATCTCTTTTTCCATTTTTTTTTCTATCAGAGTTAATGAAAATGAACACGGTTGGTATCGTGAAACTTACGAGCGGTGTGTAGACATTAACGTAAAGGCAATCTTCATCCCCGGCAAATCGTTTGTCGTTCAAATAGTTCATGTGATCGTATTGCAAGCACATCGGAGGCAAAGTAGATGCGTTCCATTTTCCACGCCATGGTTTAGGCGGCTGTGGTGGCTAAAATGTGAAAGTAAAAGAACATGAATTCAGGACCCTCTCAATGATATTAGGTTCAGGTTACGACATTATGGGCACATTTTTTTTCCTCTCTTTTTTTTTCAATGATACGTAACTCATGCTCACACGTCCTTCCCTGGTAAAGATTGGTGTAGAATCTGTGTTCCAAAATACCACAGACCTACAGCCAGCTGTAAGATTTCCAATAGCTTCTATAGCCGGCAACACAATTTCTTAAAGCCCTATATAGCCGCGATGGCGATTAAGCAACGGGATGGCGAAAAAGTGTATGCTAAACGTTACTAATTACGGATGCTAGGACTTAGTGAGTTTTTGGACTACCACTCTCTTTTGGGACCGTAGTATCTTGATTTATTTTGGGAGGAAAGCTCCGTACTTTTGAAGGATGCCTGCCATTCCTAATATGTTGGAGCGCCTTCAATTTTGTATGATACTGTGCAATACCTCTGGTGTGAAATAGTTGCTTCAAGCGCCGTGGTACGCTGCGGCGGGCGGGCAGCCAGCTCGAAACGCGCATTGGCGCCTACAAACCTAACAGGGATACTTCACGCATTGCGGAATGCGTGAAGTATCCCTGTTAGGTTTGTAGGCGCCAGTGCGCCGCCGCTCCGCTTTGTGTTAGACTCTTATATTTAATCTCGTGGAGTCAGCGTTTTTCAACTCATGACTTTGAAATGTTTGCACACTCTGTATACGTAGTGGCATACATGGATCCATAGTATGGAGTATGGCATGGAGTGTCCATAAATGGATTATTCTCATTTTAATTGATGGAAAAAAATAAGTAGTAAAGGAAAATATAATGTGCGTTTTTTAAATATTAAGGTAATTCCCGTACAAACTTAAGGATTTACAAAGCACACGAATTTCTACACGATTTCTTATAGCCTTTTATAGCCGATGCCGAAAAAGCAACATGCAGCCAAGCGATAAAGTGTAAAGCCCGGCGATAGGAACTATAGCCCGCCTGCATAATTTTTTATCGCTTCGTGTAGCCCGGCCGTATGATTTTTTCCACTTTCTACAGCCAGCTATATGATTTTCTATCGCCTTCTTCAGTCGGCTATAAGAACTCCTATGGTATTTTGAAACGCAGCTCCTACAGCTAATTTTTACCAGGGTTCTACAGTGGTTAGAGATATTCGTGTCCAACTCGACTTCATTTTCAGATGAAGGAAATAGTTATATGTGACTATAAGTGTCGGTATAACCTTTTTTTTTCAGCACCTCAGTGGGAATATATTGACTCGATTGGTGGTGGCAACCACCTCACAGTGCAGCGAGTCAATGGGAGAAGTCGGACATAATTTCAAACTTTTGAAACTTATGCCTTCGTTAATGACACGAAACACACGAGATTGAAATTTGTTCCCTAGGTTTTTTAATAAAATATCCCTCAAAATTCCCTTTAAAATTTCCCTTTAAATTTATCATGTGATGATATAAACATAAGTATTTGTAATTTTAGTCAAAAATTTCAAGCCCGACTACCCCTAATGGCTCGTTTAATTGTTCGCCACTCTTAGTCCTTCTGTGGAGCGCAATGGTTGGCGTCATAGACTCCAAATTAAAAGTAATTATCTTTGAGTGATAGCAGAGTGAAAAATTATTCTGATTGAAACCTCTGTTAAATGAAAAAGGCTATTGAAATTTTTGATAGGAATACGATATTGGTGATTTTAGAGAAAATTTACTTCAAAGTAAACGTCCTTAGGACAAATTCTACCCAAGGAACATATTATTGGATCCACACATAGCATCAATTTTCACTCATGAATCAAAGGTATGACGTTCACTAAATTGTAATTTTTATGAACTTCGTGCCGCATTTTTTGAAACTCACGCGGGAATATTTCTTACAATTTACCGCGTTGACCTCAGCTCTTCGATCGTGCTCATTAAAAAATATAGATTAAAAGTAGAACATGTATAAATGGATGTCTACTTACCGCAAACCTATACTTTCCCACAGGGGGCCGTGCATATGGAATCCCTAAAAACGCATTGATGTTCCTTCCGTTTGCAGTCTTTTCAACTGTTCCCGTCAATGTGCCTTGATCGATGTGAACAGTCGGTGAAAGAACAGCCCCAACGACCAAAATGTTGAAGAACAATGCGATACCACTGAGCAGAAGATATTGTTTCATATTGCTGCTTTCGTTATTTCCTAGATTTTTTTTAAAAATCAGATTGGTACTGTAAGATTAGGCCAATTTTAGGGGAAAAAATGCATGGAGAACCAGCGTTATAATTGTATGATCGTCAATACGTGCGGAAAAAACTTTAAATTCATGATTCGGGGGGCTTAGAGGACACGGTGCATTAGTGCAGTTTTTGCTGTTTGAGAAATATGTGTTTGAAATTCCGAAATCACATGGATCCTAATGGCGGGAAGAAAGTTCAAACTGACTCTTTGATGAAAAATTGGAATTTAGGCGCAGATTTTTCGAAGAATATGCATTAAGATTAGTTTTACTTGAAATCATGTGAATCATGTGCCATGTCCTCCGAGCTCCTCATTCGCAAATTTTTGGCGAGGAAAAAAGCTAGACTTATTTGCGAAAATTCTGTTATTATTTCAGTGAGACTATTAAGGATTATTTTGAAAAATCGAGGAAAGATTGTTCATAATACACAAGTATGGTTAAGTGGTAATGTACCTATATATACTTACTGGAGCTACATTAATCATCTCGAGTATCAACCTGTCTCACGGTAAACTTGATGAAAAGATTGAACAGTGACAATAAGACTGATTTCCTCCCTCCATTTAATACTTTAAACTTGGTTTGTACCATCATTGTCCTCTATGTGACTTCAAAATTTCACGGTTCCGTTAAATTACTATCCGTATTATAATTAATAAAATAATGCATTATCGTAGCCAATATTTTATTTTGCATGATATGGGGTTTTTTCCCCTTATGATTTGCGAGGTCTATTCGAATTTAGTGGTAAATGGAAGAAAGTAAATTTTTTAAAAGAAAATAATATTATATTACAAAATTTGTACAGTTTTATTTTTTACATAATTTTTATATGATAGAGGAAAAAAATCTAAAATTTCATATCTCGGTAATTTTCAGGTACCCACAGTCACATACATTGATCCACATAAGTAATTGAAAAAAAGCGAGCCCTACTGGCACGCATAAAAAAACACTTCTTCTTCATGAACAACGAATAATGTCAATAGTTCAGCTACATTGATCGGACGATTAATTTTAAAACATACCTGTATTGAATGCGCAGTAATTGTCTTCTGCGTGCGAATGTGTGTACCTTCAAGTAAGGATTTTAACAAAACAATTTAGGCTAATACCATTACTATGGTTTGATTACTATTGATTTTTCACAGACATTTACAGAAATATTTACAACGTGTATAAGTTTAATCTGACTTCGCCACCAGTCATCCTCAGTGACTTTGAAAAAAATAAAAATAAAAATTTAGAGAACAAGAAAAGTGGAGAGGTATTTTATCCTTACAAGTAACTTGCTTCAGAAGTTAAGCCGGTACAAGTGATAATATGCCGCAGACAGCGTGAAAACATAAACAAACATGGCTAGCCGTAATCCTCACTTTATTGTTGCCTTTTCTAATAAAAAGTAATCGATAAAGCGGCACTCATTTCGAGATGAAGTATGTTAATTTCCAACCAACTGGCATTTATGCTCTTAGGAGCGGTGAAAGAGCATTGATAAGAGCAAATCCGAGGCTGCCGAATTTCAGCAATTTTTAACCAATTTTTGGCATGCTTAGAAAATAAAAAGAAAAATCTTGACGGTTATTACACTCTAAAAGTATGAGCCTCTGTTGGAGCAGTGTAAAAATGTTTGATCTTCCTTAAATTATGTATTCTATTTTTTAAGGAAAATATACAAACCTTATTGGTTGATGATATCTTCGTAATATTTTTATGGAAAAGAGATATATCATCGTAAACTCCACCACTTTACAGTTCAAAAATAGGTATGATGGACATTTTCAATGTCGCAAAATGATGCACTTTATCTCATCATTTTCATGCATTTAAATCAAAAGGAAGTACGTCCACTGCGACATGAGCCCTGCCATGCATATATTTTTATGAGTCTCATGTCAGGAAGAGCGCGAGTTTCTTTTGATTTGAATACGTCCATTTAGTTAGATGACCCTCACCTGTGTTAGTCTATCCTTTAAATCGGATTCACCATATTATAGTCTTTACTTCGCACATTTGACGCACCGAGGAATCTTGGAGGGTGAAAATCGCGACTTTTAATCCACAGTAGTCTAAGTATCGTAAAAATAAATCTATTTTAATGTAAAACGTTGTAATTCAGATTATTTTGCTGTACGAGCCCCGGTACTCAAGGTTAAAAAATAACGGGGGGGGGGGGGGAGTTTCCACCATTTTTGGCTTTCAAACCGAATCTTAAAGTGGAAAATATGAATGAACGGGCCATTGAAGTCAACACATTATGGACGAAGTTTGACGTGCCAGATGTTTTGAGTCAGTTCATACTCGTTGTGAGATTAAAAGACCTCAAGCGGCCGGCATCAATGCACTTGGCCCTCGATATTTTCACTTTGAGCAAAATTCTTCAAGTGTAGGAACAGCGCCTCAAAATGTGACGCATTCAACTGTAGCCTTTCTCATGTCTGCACCACGCTCAGATTCATCAACTAACATCTTTGGACCTGGAAGAGGAAGACAAAAATTGAACAAATTGACTGTTTAATTACTATGTTTAGTTTTCAGATTTTTCAGCCCACCTTCATTTAGTCATTTGCATGCCGGTTCGCATTGAATTTTCAAAAAAATGGGCGCTTCCCGCTAATCTAATTGTAAGCCTGACTTTAGGTTTGTTTTGTTCCTCCTTCTTCCCTTTTGTCAGGCATGTATTAGACACCCCTTAATCTCCCTCTCTCTAGAACCTTGAGGCAATCTTAAGGCAGCCTCTGACTTACAAGCAGTGAATTTACTTCGGAAAATGACTTTAAAAGATGCACTTTGCGTCAAAGCAATCGCACGCTAAGTTTGAAGCACTAAATGGGTCAAACTCATGTTTTTGACACGCCGGCGGCACCGTTATTCATCTGATTTTCCTCAAGACGTGACGGCAGATGAAAGGCACATGTTAGAGTTGATATGACATTTATAGCATTGTTTTTAGTATGTTTTCTTCGCATTATCACTCTCTCACACTGGTTTGTTGTTGTAGTTTTTAATCCGTTAATCTCCAGCCGCTTAGAGAGGTGTCGCAACGACTTAATAATTCATTCCAGTTCTCTCTTTGACGGTGATTCTACACTGTATGTTGTGTATATTTTCCCCCTATTTCAAACCTAAATAGTCTGCGAGTGTATTTTGCAACATTTTTACATGTGTCAGGAAAAAATAACGTCAAAAAGGGGAAATGTTTTAATAAAAATTTGGGTCAACACGTGCATGAAGGGCGTGTTCACGAGTTGCAGCGAGGTGATGATGAATCAAAGGCTATGAGGGCAAAACTTTTTTGATTTTTGAAAATCGATCAAGTTTTACTTCACAAACATATGGTACACACTCGTATAGCTACGTTGCACGTTGCGTTTGGTCCCTTTTTGAAAAATGCATTCAGAGGAATTTAGGGTATGCTTTGCGAATCTCATTTAGGCATGCTTGGTAAAATAAAAAATTCTCCACTTTTGCCAGCACTTCATCCTTTTTTATTCGTGTGCCAGTTTTAAGACGTAAAAGCTTATGCACTTTACGTCACTTAGGTGCAATGGACGGATTCTTGCAATCGAACAACCATGCACTTTTTCTATGAAATTCGGCTCATCGCTCATACCAATTTTGCAAATAAAACAGCCATAATAAGTCAAATGTCGATGACTATTTTTCTTTTTGGTCAAGGATTAATAAATTCCTTAAATTCACCTTAAGAAGTCCATTCAAAAATCAGGACTATGTTACGACTTTGTATGAATGAGATGTATCAAAACTTCTGTTGAAGGGAATTTTTCTCAGGCTTACACCGATTTATATTGGCTATAGTATTGGGTCGCAAAAATTTGCTGAATGTGAATAAAATAATTTATGATGGCTCTCCTTGCAAAGAAGGATTTGGTTATCTTCTGTTTCTGCGAGTTCAGAAATTCAAGTGTCTGTCCATTTGAGCATCATACAACTGGGCATGATCGATTTACCCTCCTCTAATATTTGACGTAAAGTGTCATTTGTTCGGATATTTGAACCCTCGTGAAATACTCCGCGTGCAGTCATTACGCTCAAATCAATTTTAAAATCAAAATGGTGCATTTTACTTAGAAGCTAATAGTCGAGAGTGAAGAGTGTTAGAATTACTATGTACATTTGGTGTTTGCATAATGGAAGTCCTCAGCATGCTCTTAGGAGGCAAAGCATTGTCATGATACCTGTAAAAAATTAGACGAAGATTTGATGAAAAAGAGATCGATAGTATATACATGATACTGTCCAAACAATGCTTATGGACAAAAGGAAAATAGTATTTCAATATGTCTCCAAGTAAAATTAAAAGCTATCGATGAGGAAGTTGAGTGGCATTTTTGCGATTTCTGCGCATTGAAAAACTACACGGAGGCTCATGGTAGGAAAACTTGAGCTTTTAGACGGCTAATTGAGATTTAGTGCTAAATTTTTCCCTTAGGCAACCTCAAGCAAAATTTTATTCAATTTTTTTTCAAAGATGCCACTTAACTTTGCCACATCGCCTGAAATATTACAAATCTACTCATTTTATGCCTTTAAATTGTAGGAAGCCAAAATAAAAAGAAATCGTTTAACTGTAAAAGTGATATATTTTTAGGGAGGTGAATAAATACATATACTCCAAACGTTTTCAGAGAAAAATTCATCAAAACATGCGGCCTCAAAGTTAAATAACAATATACGACGACAAATTTGTCACAAAAGTCAACGTCAGTACTCACCCCTTCCTATTTAAAGTTTTTTCGTGTTTAATTTCATCAACTGAATTTCGTTTCCCTCGTAAATTATTCATGAAGTTTGTCAACCTACGAATCAAAGAAAAGAGTCTCAGAGCTTCAAAAAGCTAAATTAAAAAAAGTGCATTGCAAAAAATCTTAATTTTTTTTTCTATAAGCTCCCTTACAGTGAGTCTCAAAGCGTATACCCTAGCCTAATGATTAATACATCTTCGTTTGATTTAAAGAAATGTTTCAGCAGGACATGAATGAATTCGTGCGGATTTTGCCTAATTTTAGAAAAATGTTCACGCGTTGATCATGCCTATCACTAGACCGCATCGGGCAAAAAGGTCAAGGGCCTAACCAATGTTTTGACGGGTTATAATTGCATTTTGGAGGTGTAAATAACAACAAATTAACAGCTAAATATAATTAAGGCGTAAAATACAGCTTTAAGTGGCTTGCCGCTTTTTGGAAAACACAGCTAGTTCCATATTACTTTTAATTTTGGTCATATTTCTTATCAACTTTAAAACTGCAAAAAATGATATTGAGGTTGAATAAAAATTGGCAATTTCTAACGTGAGCATGGTGGCTCAGAAAATTAAATATCTCTATCTCCAAAATACGTTCGTTGAATCAAAGACTTTACATCCTACTCTTTTCAATGTTTCAGTTTTAATGGACCAAGGTTTCCCTTTGGTCGTCACACATTCAGAGAGAAATTGCATTATTATAAAAACCTTAAGTTTTACCGTTAGTGAGTCTGTTTCACACAAAAATTACTTAAAAATGTATTTGAATTTTCATAAGTAAAATTGTGTGAAAACCAGCACGAGCCTATCAAAAAACCCTGATATTCAACCGCTGCAATTTTGGGTCACTCTTTCATGGATAGGTGAGCAGCACTTGGATTGTTGAAATGTTCTCAGATGACCTTGATCAATAAGTACGTAGCATTGCTAGGATAGAGATTTATCCATCAAAGTCGTCGATAAAGATTCAAAAATAAACCTGCTGGACAGATACTTACGTTCTACCGATTCTTCTTTTGTCTAGTTCTTTTTGGACGGACTCGGGCATTTTACTTTCATCCGCGTTGTTGGGCTGAAAAAGAAAAAAGACAGAACATTTTGTGTGGAGCGATGAGTGAGCGGAAATTAGGCATGAGGGTGGAGTTGCAACGCCACATTTAGTCAGATATCAATACAGGGTGTACCAAAAGTCCGTCCCACCCCTGCTAACTTTTGAACGAATTGAGCTAGGGTAATGAAACTTTGGGAATGTTCCTATCTCAAAAGGGACCATCTTTTGGGGGGGGTCAAAATTTTGGTCCCCCCTCAGGGGGGGCGCGGGGGCCCCCAACTTTTTTTTTTTCAAATGGCAACCCCTATCTTGTGATACCTCATTCGAAAGAGCATAAAAAAATAAGAATTTTGACGCAAACCGCAGATCAATATCTTAATTTTTGACCGAGTTATGATAGGTCAAAGGTCAAATTTGACCTATTTTCAAAAAATCATAACTCAAGTTCAAATTATCGTAGAGAAAAAAATAAAACGGGAAAATTTACCAAATTGTGTCCGCTTTTAAGTAAAAATTGCAGAAATCACTTCGCTGTAATTTTAAGGGGGGGCTCGGACCCCCAAATACGTCAATTCAAAGGTCATTCAATTTTCCCGCGAAAAAAGGCAATTTCCCCTAGATTTGCCTCCACATTATCTCAGTAAGGTCAAAATTAGTTCAACATTACGTTGGCAAGTCCCCAAAATTCGGAAAAGTTAAAAAAAAACGAAATTTAAACGGTCAAATTTAATCACCTTAAATTTCGTTTTTTTTTTTAAACTTTTCCCGAAATGGGGACTTGCCAACGTAATGTTGAACTAATTTTGACCTTACTGAGATAATGTGGAGGCAAATCTAGGGGAAACTGCCTTTTTTCGCGGGAAAATTGAATGACCTTTGAATTGACGTATTTGGGGGTCCGAGCCCCCCCTTAAAATTACAGCGAAGTGATTTCTGCAATTTTTACTTAAAAGCGGACACAATTTGGTAAATTTTCCCGTTTTATTTTTTTCTCTACGATAATTTGAACTTGTGTTATGATTTTTTGAAAATAGGTCAAATTTGACCTTTGACCTATCATAACTCGGTCAAAAATTAAGATATTGATCTGTGGTTTGCGCCAAAATTCTTATTTTTTTATGCTCTTTCGAATGAGGTATCACAAGATAGGGGTTGCCATTTGAAAAAAAAAAGTTGGGGGCCCCCCGCGCCCCCCCTGAGGGGGGACCAAAATTTGGACCCCCCCAAAAGATGGTCCCCTTTGAGATAGGAACATTCCCAAAGTTTCATTACCCTAGCTCAATTCGTTCAAAAGTTAGCAGGGGTGGGACGGACTTTTGGTACACCCTGTATAATATTCCTTTATATCTCATTGCGTGATAGGACATAATGTGATTATTTGTGCAAGCAACTATTCGCACTTCCGTGTGTTGCACAGTATCGTTGCAAATTGAAGGCGACTGTTCTTCGTTATTTATTCTGCAGTCTGAATAAAATTGCCCCTCATGATACACTTCACGGTGTGATTATGCAGGCAAGCAAATGTTCAAGCTTCTGCGTGTTGCACGGTATCATCGTGAATTGAAGGAGACTGTTTTTCGTTATCCATCCTTCATTCTAAGTAAAATTGATCTTCATAATACGATCAAAGGAATTTGGAATTTTGGATATTACTGGTGAGCTGACCTTTACTTCGTTGATATTGATAGATCCACATGCAATGATACATACTATGGAGTGGACGTTGATATACGTTACCATAACCAACTATCCGCTTCAGACTTAAGTATTTTATAAATAAAAATTTGCAAACTTTGCAAAAATTTTCAACTTACGTTCATACTTCCTTTCCTGTGTTTTTTGTCTTTCGGCAATCTGAGGAGCAAAATTATATTTGAATTAGAGATAGACAATTATAAAGTGTTAAATCATCAACTATACAAAGACTTAAACGAATAGATATCATTAAATTTTAATTACTTATGGAATTAGTTCGTGAGGATTTTATTTAGATTTAAACAATTTGCGAGAATTTTTTTTTTTTTTTTTTTTTTTTTTTTTTTACTAAAAGAACAATTTTGAGAATGTAGAAAGACATTCACAATTTTATGATTACTTCATGCAATGTAAGGTCTGTATTTCAGCAGAGTCCATATGCATGCATCCATTTTGGGAAAGCAAAAACTTACAAATTGGCATCCTCGAGTTTCTTGAGCAATCGTTCGTTCTCTCGGCAAACAACGGCATGATCTCTGGAGAGGATATCGCGACTCTGGAAGAGATCAGCATTTTCCTTCCGTAGAGCCTCGTTTTCGTTGGCGTAATGTTTCACCATGTCCACAAGTTCGCTCGTTTTCATTTTTGACAGTTTCTCCAAATCAATGTTCGATGGGGTCTTCGAACTCAAAGGAACTGGAGCATGAAAAATAATAAAATTCCATCACTGAATTCTACGAAAATAATCTCATCAAGAAAAAACCCTGAAGTCTAAAGAGACATTTTTGGATAATTTCACTGGGGTAAATTCTTCTCTGAATACTTTTTGGGGAAGAAAGTCAATTTTTCAAAAATAATTATTTTTGCCAGAACCAAAAGTTTTTTGCTGGAGATTTCAATAGATGCTCCTCTTAATTTAAATGCAAATATTTTTCTTTATTGTAATAAGTTTACACACCTACGGTCAAAAATTTTAGCAGAAAGCAAGGTGTAAGCATTTTGTGGGTTTCTAAAAATCGAGAAAATTGGCCTTAAATGGTGGACATTTTTTTGACCTTTACTTTTCTGGGAGAATTTATCTATGTATAGACATCAATTATAGTAAGCTCTTTACATTTTTAAGGGTCATGAGAATCTCAGACCTATTGAACTAACCCCCTTAGCTATGCCTCTTACCTATCAAATGATTTTGCCGGCTATCAACTAGGCGGATAAACCTCCGATGTAAGCATGCATACATCAGTCAGATCCCCTTCATTAATTAGAGTATGCAACACTGTCGACCGTCGGTTAGTAATAGCTACATCCAGGGGTTGATGTGAGAAAAGCCCATTTTTTTTATTCATAAAATCGATCAGTATACACCCCCCCCCTGACATTACAAATGAAAATGTGTAATTTGATTAAAATTTTTCCGGAAAACGGATTAGTTCATTACTAGAGAGTTTTACGACCTAATTCCATTTATCTAAATAGAACTCCCAAGTCCATTCGCAGACTCGTGGAAATGGGGATAATCCAAGTTCTACTTTTAATCCAATGTGAGATTTATCAAGAAATGAACTACGGAATTTTGGAACAGGTAAACAACTGAAAAATGCCATCAAACGTGAACTTAACAGAACGTCCTTATTCCTTTACATACCGTTTGGTATCGGATCATCTGCTTTTAGGTTTAAGGAAGCCCGTAAATGTTCATTTTCAGTTTGTAGTGCAGCGACTTCTCGCTTCAATGTGACAATCAACGCCTCTCGCGGATCCTAAAAAAAAATTAAGAAGATAGTGAGACACTGTTTGGTTAAAGAATTATACATACAAATTACAATGAAATACGATTAATAAAATTTAATAAAATTACAAAAAGCAAATCGATAGAATAGCATGATTTTTATGCCGGTAAATTGAAGAAAAGTGAGTGCTTGAGAAATCGTAATACACCTTTTTCCGGATTTCAATCATGGTTCTAGGAATGTAATCTTTTTCGGATGACCGGATAAGTTGGTTAGCGACTAGTTAACAAAAACAATATTGTATGTACAATTGCACAAGTGCTTGTATAAAAATTTAGTATTACCATCACGACGATAGGTTTTGATTTGATTCTCTTGGCCCTCGCAGCATACCTCAAAGTATTTAAAGTCTCGGTCACGTTACTTTTGGCGGGCGAGATACACGCAATCTGAAAAAAAAACATCGTTATCATAGAAAATTTCCATGGTTATTCAAAGCTCAATGACCACAACGTAAAGTAAATCAGACATTTTAATGTAAGGTGAGTATGCATATCTTGAAATTTTTTAGGAAAATTAAACTTCTTTCAACATGAGAAATGTTAAACTTTCTTCTGTAAATCTAAAAAATGATCCTTCAATTTTAGCCAGTTTCTGTACCTGATCAGAACAAAAGGCAAACTCCATCACAACATTCGCTGTGATGAGTATAACGTATTCTGCTTTTTAATCTCTCGTAAATCTAATGTGTGAAATTGGATATTACTGTGTTTTGTTCAGTAAGTAGTAATGGTTGCATAACTGATAAGTTGAAGGCGTTTTAAAAGGCTTGTCACATTCGTGTGACTATCAGCTAGCGGATTCAATTGATCCATTCCGCGTTTTCAATTCCTTTTAAAAACGTCTAACCTTTTGATCCGTAATTCTAAATCGATCCGTAAAAAATACCATGTGCCAGTTTGTTTCCCTAGAGCTTGAATTCGCTAAAAAGTTGCTAAACCACTAACCATGAGAGTGACTCCGTTTCCTGCTAAACTGTCAGCTAGGAGTTTCGTCAACTTGCTGTCCCTGTAGGGAATGTGTTCTTTTTCTTTTTTCTTTGGATCACTCAACTTTGCTATGCAATACCCTAAAAACAACAGAAAATACCTTAAATGTACAATTTGAGTGATAAAACGCATTAGGCTGCACCTGCAATATAATATGATCCTTAAAAATCATTACTTGTATGCCAGAGCGCACCTATACGATCATATTCAGAAACGTTGGCAAAAACGAGCAATAGATAGTGGGTGGGAGGTCCTGTTTTAACGGTAGGTGCTCCATTTACTATCCAATTTGTTTTGTTACTTATTTTAAATGGTAGAAACACCTTTAAAAAAGCTCGGTTTTTTTTTATTAATTTAAGTTTTTCAAAAAATGTTGAACACCCATCACTGTTATTCATACTTCACATTCCTCATAGGTTAGGTTAATCCTTTCTAATCCTTTCAAAATATCGGCGTATTTATCGGTATCTCATCATCCCACAGAAAGTAGTTAATCTGCAAAACAGCGCAAAGTTTTTGAACTTCGTATATTTGTTGCGAAAACTTGACTGAATTTAGGCGGACAAGAATCCCGTTTTTGCGAGAAAAATGAACGGTGAACGGTGAAGCGATCTAATTCTATCACTTTTTTCCCCCGAGCAAATCAATGTGGAAATAATACTAGAATGAGTGTTAAGATCAACATACCTAGCACCATTAAGCTTTTATTGATGTTATTCGCTTCCTCCAAAGTTTTCCCCTCGCTGTGAGTCTTCTTAGTCATTTCACTACCAGCAAGATCAACGAAATTTATTTTACCCTGTTTCGTTATGAATACGCCATTTTCCATCTGAAAATATTAAAAATGAGGCGGTTTAAGAAAAATTTGATGGTTCACAATTACCTAATGATAATAATTTTATTTTAATTGAAGAGGAGTTGTAAAGAACTGGATGACTTTATTTTGCAGGAAAGTACAAGGCTAAATGTATGTATTAAAAAACTGAGTCCGTTAATTGTAACAGTGATGTAAAATAGTACTAGGTCCCCAGTATAATGAGGGGAAAGCAAGAGGCTAAAAAGTTCAAAAATTTACAATCAGAGTAAAAACTTTAAGCTCTATAATGATGCATCTGTCTGAGCTGAACATGTTTCCCTCCAATCCCTCAGGTCTTGTAATGATACTTGTTAGCGCTCAAATTTTTTACTCTAATTGAAAATGTTTTGATCTACATGGCCTTGCTTTCCCCTCAAATAATGTTTCTATGAGTATGGATGTAAATTGAGTCATCATATTTTGAATCCAAAAAAAAAGAACATGAGGAAATAGGGTGAGTTGTGCGATGATGTATTGTTTTAATGATTTGAAAAAATGAATTACTTGCTGCTCGGACGTTATGTGGACAGTCAATATAGTGTGACTCCTACTCGAATGCTCGTTCATCATGTGCGCTCCCATCGCCCTATTCCGCATACCTACAAGAGGATAATTCAACTGTTATTATAAAGCATTTAAGCAAAATTCTACTTTTGATTTATCTCTTATAACGATGCAAGTACAAAAATAGAGCTGTGGTTCTAGTCTTGATGTCCTCATTCAAAATTTTTGGGCACAAATCGCAAAATTGCGAAGAAAAAATCTTAGAAATTATGAGGGCTTGAAAGCAATTATTTAGATTTTCCCACATGGAGTACGTTTGACAATTTTTCTGAAAATCAAATTCATATACAAGTTAAGCTTTTGTGAGGCAATTTTATACAGAAAGGGGAAAATGGCGTGACAGTATTAATAGATATTTTCTTTGCAGCGAACGTGAACAGTTTTGAGGAATGGTAATAATTTATACATAGATAAAAAAAAAAAAAAAAAAAAAAAAAAAAAAAAAAAAAAAAAAAAATAGATTCTTTGCAGTGCCTACAGCCTTCTGCATTTTCATGTTGACTTACCTTCCTCCAGCACAGCCAGTAGATCATCTAGTTCTTCACAGTCTACAGTGAAGAGGTTTTCAACAAAGAAACTTCTTGATTTCTTTGACCATCGCACGGCCAGGGGTTTTCTCAGGCCAGGGTTGAGCAAATCTATCACCTGTTTTTCGTGAAAAAGATGAAAATTAAATTTTAGTGCTTTAAAGTGTGTGCTTTAATTTTTTACAATAGTCCTATAGGAGGTACAGCTCTAGAGTACTACGCCGATTAGTACTTTAGAATCGAAAGAACTTCAGACTTTTATAAAACCAGACTCCTGACCTACAAGAAGTTGTACCGTGTAAGTTTAGCAACGGAATAATTCAATTGATCGGATCGAGAAAAAATTAAAATGATAACGCAAAAATTGCGCGTTCAATTAAGTACAAATAATTAAATTGAACATGAGTTGTTCAAGGAGATACCTTACGTTTATTTTGCAAGAATGATTGGACACACGAACAATACATTCAGTTTGACGGTTAGAAGATATTCTGGTTGTTTTTTTAGGCTAAAAATGCCGTTGAGTTTAGACAGTTCAGATCTAGCAGCAATTACCGCCGAAATTTCACTGCGGGGCTATTTAGCTCTTAAAAATATTTTCCCGTTGGTAGCGACCTAGAGTGATGGTGACATTCTCTGGTTTGAAATGCCATAGAGTCTCATCTATATACGATAGTGACAAACAATTCATTTTAATTATGAAGAATAATGACAGCAACGTGTCAAAAACCGAATAAGTTACTCTTTTTTTTCAAAAAAGAAATGAATGATGATTGGATACTCAAAGTTTTCAGTGAGTTCTTTTCAAGTGTGTTTTTCTCAAGTTCACGAGAGTGGTATAAAATTAACAACAATTCCTGGGCCTAGACCCTGTCACCTAATTTGAGGAGCCATGAAACTCAATAACATTACCCTTGAATCGACGAGAATAAAGAGAGGGGCTTCGGCAAATAATTTTGCACGGGGTAGCTTGCAAAAATACAGTCGTGCAAACGATTGAAATGGAGAATGACTAATGATAACCGAGTGCCCCAGTTAAATTTCATGGTTCGATCCCTGACCTGTCTCCGTGCACCAGCCACTGTCAAGACCATTTCCTCGATTAAAGGGAGATTTGGGTGGAGGGTGGGGGGAGTGAAATTGGAAAAAAAGGTACGAAGCGTGTAGATAAAGACCCTAGAATGAATTTCTAAAGCTAGATTGATACGAAATGGGTAATTGATACTGATGAATGGAGCCCGGTGGTGGATGTATCGCCGGTGGAATACCTGCTGTGTTTGAACATCCTAAGTTACAATCGTCGGTCGGTTTATTTTCATAATTTATTATATTATTTGTCCCTACATTAACAAAGATGTGCATTAATACATTTACACGTATCGAGCAATGACTAGCAATACTTTTTTTTTTTTTTAAATATTAGAAAACTAGATAATGAGTAACATGCGATAATCAAAAGTAATGCTTGTATGTATTTAAATTGAAGGCGCTTACTAATGTTTATTCAGTAACTCATTAAATTCTGCAAACTGGACTCTTGGTGCTGCTGATAGGAATTATTTGTTTATATGAACTAATTAATATTATCTTACTTTGGAAAATTTTGCAAAAATATCCATACGGTATAAAGCATTCTGAGATAAAACACTGAGGGGCACGATCCAAGTAGATACGTCGTAGCTCGTTTTTTATTACACCCCGCTCTAAGGCTTCCTCATTTTCTTTTGGACTAGAGTTTCCATCTCCTTTTGATCAAGTTACTGATCTAATTATTCCTTCTCTCCACCATATAGGGTGGTTTGATTCGCACGAGTTGTGGGAAAAGTCTGCAGTTAAAATTCTCAGTATATTGACTCGATAGCCAAGTAAATACTCTCTGGAAATAAAAATTATCCTCTTAGCCAAAGCCGATTTTTACTTGAGAGTTTCATGAGCTAATGTGCAGAAAAGCCTTTCAGTGCTATTTTTTTTCTCCCAGGGGCCTCTTTTAAGCTTGCTAGAACAAACTTTTTGGATTTATTTGTTTGGATTTAGATTTGTGCTAGCATACTCGCCATTGAAATTATGAAATAAAATATAATGTCCTTACTTTTTCGTTGTAGATTTCAAGAAAAGAAGCTTTCAGCACAAAATGGACATCCCTTTTGTCCTTGAGGAGTTGAAAGAGGTACATGAAGGAACGGAAAACAAGTCCATGCTCTGGGTCCGATGGATCAGGATTTTTCTCGAACTAAAATGAAAAATATGCAATGAAAGGATACGGGAAGACTTAGCCATGAATCTGTGATATTTCAGTGGTTAAGTTGAAGCTGAATATATTCGTATCAATTGTCATTGAATCTCAGCATTGACGGAGATGAAATATTTTCATTGGTATTTAATTCCTGGAATTTCGAATGAACTCTTAATAGACCAATGACGATTTTTATTAGATTCAACGTGTCTCACGGGCAAGAAATACCATAACTCATTATTGCTGCTGTTTAGTGTCATATTGAACAATTCCTCTATTAGGATCAATACACTATAAAGTGTTTGTTAAACTAATTGCCAAAATTGTAGTATGCAAATTTAAATTTAAAAAAAAAAAAAAAAAAGTTTACCCCTAGTTTCCCCCTGTATAATGTGCTCTATCTCGGCAGGGCGCACCGAGGTATACGTGCAATGCATGAAGTATCGCGTAGGCTTGTAAGGCGCTATTTTATGCGTTGCGCGAACCGTATACTGTACGGGCAATGCATGAGGGCAGTATAGTTCCGCTATCAATGTATCGGCACTTCCCGGCAAAAGTATCCCAAGTGCTATGCGACGTTTCAAATTTTTCAACAAAGCTGTCCGAAAATTTCACTGAATTTCCTTTATGTTGTCGATAAAAGTCAGCGAAACTTTCAAACGAATTCAACCCACAATTTCTCTGTAAAAAAATAAAATGGCGGCGGAAATTTTGAAACGTCGCGTGGCGCTTGTGATACTTTGGCCTGAAGGTGACGATATTGATTCAGTAATCCTGTTAAAAATTTTCTTTTTTTCTTTTTAGCCAGAGCTCAATGAAGAATACGTATTCGAAATTAGCTCAAAGCCAGAACCCAAAAGATTAATAATTTCCAAGACTCACCAATTTCGGTGGCCCGGTGAGTGTGTGTGTTTTCCCGCTTCCGGTCTGCCCGTAGCAGAATGCCGTGGTGCTGAAGCCCTCAACCGCCATTTGGATGAGTTTCGTCATGCCAGAATACATGAGCACGTCCGACTGAGTGGCCCCAGGCTCAAAAACGATATTGTACGCGAACTGTTTCGTCTTCGGCCCATTTCCATCGGTCCCACCAATTCTATCACTCACTCCCTCGACCTTAAAAAACAAAATATTTTACTGAAAAAATGAAGGAGGCAGAAACAAGAAATTCAACAGTATCAAGTGAAATTATGGAAATCGCCATATCTGCAGTAATCACCATGCCACTTGAAAATGCCCCTTGAAGGATGGCAAGGATGCCATCTGAAGGATGCCAAGGATGCTATTTGAATACTAACAATTCAGAGGTGGCAGAAACAACTGGAAAGGGATGAATGTAAAGATTACATCCATTGATATTACGCCTTCAATTTGTGAGGTAGGCTGTAAAGCATATTCCATGCAGCATCAGATATCTGTTCAAGAATGATTGTATTTTGTACTTTCTACAAATCTTGTCTCGCAGAATACTATTTTGAGCCTTAGCCTGCCGATTTTGATGCACTTTCTATATATCTATTCAAGCCTCTGTATTTTTTAAAGAATAAAATACAAGGAAATANTAAACTTTTTACACGCTTTGGAAAATCTCAGAAGTTCGCGGTAGTCACTTTTCGGTAAGGAACTAGGGGACTCGGTTATTGTATCGAGGGGGGGGTCGAAACGATCGCAAAGGCGGTATACTACGTATACGCGCCAAAAAAAACCTAGTTTCCCCCTACCCTTTACTAGGGTTACCCCTAGTTTCCCACTGTATAATGTGCTCTATCTCGGCAGGGCGCACCGTGGTATACGTGCAATGCGAGAAGTATCGCACAGGCATGTAAGGCGCTACTTTATGCGTTGTGCGAACCGTACCCCCAGCGCAATGCATGAGAGCAGTATAGTTCCGCTATCAATGTATCGTCACCTCCCGGCAAAAGTATCCCAAGTGCTATCCCAAGTGCCTTTCAAATTTTTCAACAAAGCCGTCCGAAAATTTTACTGAATTTCCTTTATGTTGTCGATAAAATTCAGTGAAACTTTCAAACAGATTCAACTCACAATTTCTTTGTAAAAAAATAAAATGGCGGCGGAAATTTTGAAACGTCGCGTGGCGCTTGTGATACTTTGGTCTGAAGGTGACGAGATTGACTCAGTAATCCTATTAAAAATTTTCTTATTTCCTTTTTAGCCAGAGCTCAACGAAGAATACGTATCTGGAATTAGTTCAAAGTCAGAACCTAAGAGCATCAATAATTTCCAAGACTCACCAATTTTGGTGGCCCGGTGAGTGTGTGCGTTTTCCCGCTTCCGGTTTGCCCGTAGCAGAATGCGGTGGTGCTAAAGCCTTCAACCGCCATTTGGATGAGTTTCGTCATGCCAGAATACATAAGCACGTCCGACTGAGTGGCCCCAGGCTCAAACACGATATTGTACGCGAACTGTTTCGTCTTCGGCCCATTTCCATCGGTCCCACCAATTCTATCACTCACTCCCTCGACCTTAAAAAACAAAATATTTTACTGAAAAAATGAAGGAGGCAGAAACAAGAAATTCAACAGTATCAAGTGAAATTATGGAAATCACCATAACCGCAGTAATCACCATGCCACTTGAAAATGCCCCTTGAAGGATGCCAAGGATGCCATCTGAAGGATGCCAAGGATGCCATTTGAATACTAACAATTCAGAGGTGGCAGAAACAACTGGAAAGGGATGAATGTAAAGATTACATCCATTGATATTACGCCTTCAATTTGTGAGGTAGGCTGTAAAACATATTCCATGCAGCATCAGATATCTGTTCAAGAATGATTGTATTTTGTACTTTCTACAAATCTTGTCTCGCAGAATACTATTTTGAGCCTTAGCCTGCCGATTTTGATGCACTTTCTATATATCTATTCAAGCCTCTGTATTTTTTAAAGAATAAAATACAAGGAAATACTATCTCACTCTCATATTTCTTTTAAGATGCAGTTATTCCCAACGTAAATACATATATAAAAATAACGCCACACTGGGCTGTAAATGTTGCTTTATATTGAATTTGATATAAAAATAGATGAGCGATCAGACAACTCTGAGAATAAATGCAATTATCTCATGGGCATGGTTTTTATATGTATAGGTATAGAAAAATTGTAACTTTTCTCTTTTAGAATTATAGATTTTGATATTTCTCTCAATAAAACACAAGGATAATAATATAACAAATTTTAACTCACCAAAATTTGTCCATTGCCTGGAAACGAAATTATACTCGGGTCATTATTTTGGATTTCTTTGGCGTTGAGTGGCCGTACCCTGCAAAATTTAGGAATTTTTTTTCATAAAATTATCCAAGCCGGTCTCATATAAGAGTTGTACTTCGGAATGTGAGATAAAATAAAAGTACCAACAGAAATAATTCAAATCGGTGATCGCAAAATATAATGTGAAATAAGAAAAGTAAAAGTAAAGTATTTATGGTGCTTAATTCAAAGTCATGGATCCTGGAATTCGGATTAATTCGAAACGAGCACTTTGAATCCCCGCTTCGACTATTTTTTGATCGCATGAGAAAATAATCGATGTGCATTTCATAAAAATACCATGAAAACTAAACGCAAAGTTTTTCTCCAAATAAACGTATCATAAAAGGTAAAAAAAGAAAGAAAAAAATCGTTACCCTTTACGAGAAGGCGCTTGTTTTTTGAATCATCAAATAATCCTACATATTTTGATGTATTCATTTACTCTCCCACCCAAATTTGAATAGTTCCAGTAAGCTATATACGCTATGAAAACACGCTTGACAATGGTGGTGCTAATATTTAATTTTGTGAGTTTTTTCTATTTCATTTTGAGTATTATTCTTTAATTTATCAAGACTTCGCTGATCATTTAATTGCAAGATAATGCCTTACCGTACGACGACATTGATACTGTCGTCTGCATTGCCCTCCGCAACGGTATTGTTCAGGGAACCTGTTGATGACCCCAGGCTGAAATCGTACGAGAACGAGCCACTGAAAAATAAGAAAGAGAAGAAGCCGTAAGTCAAAATCCATAAACCAGGGAAAACATCTGAACTTTGCCAGATTCCTCTTGATTAAATCCAATATTTCTAGACAGCTTTCGGCTTTTTCTTTGCTATTTTTTGCTCACGAATTAGTCATACCACTCTGGTTAGGAGGGAAAGAAGAGATACCTCATAACTCCAAAAGCGATGAAAAACACGAATAATAGTTTCCAATAAGATACTTAAGAATTACTAGATTCATTACAATGAAGGAAACTGTTAGCCCAGTATTTTTTTTTTTTTTTTTTTTTTTTTTTTTTTTTTTTTTTTTTTTTTTGGTGGTAAGGACAGTATTTTTTGTGTCAGGGGAGCAACTAATTAAGCCAAGTAAAATTTACCTTGTTACAAAGAGAGTTTACGTGTTGGGATGACTTTTTTTAATTTATGTCGAGCTAAACAATTTCAACACGGAAAGTAAAAAATCATTGTCACAGCTAATATTTCATTATCGGCTTAGTAAGTCGTTTTCTTTTAGCCGGTAATCCAGGATTGCGCGAAAGGTCTAAGAAAATATATGAGGATTGCGCTAAATAGGCACAAGGATTGCGTGAATGACCTTAACATGTGCTACAGGAATGCGCGAATTTAAAATGAAGTTAATTTAAGGTAGAAGTTTGGCAATACAGAAAACAGAAAAAAAAAGCATTTTTATGTTGACAATAGTTTAGGTTTGTTTGTTGGCAAGTCATTTATGTTTTACCTTGATGATAAATGAAAAGAAAAGATTGAATTATGGTCGTAGGTATAAAAAACTTTCCTAACTTTTCTCGGAAAAAAATATTTAATCGAGAGAAACGAGGCAACATTGGAATGCTCGTACGGCGTCGAAACACATGCGACATGGACCTTTTCAGCTCTATTATTCGATGCCACGATTATTCTAACGCGAGTTCGAATAATCAAGCCGAACACAGTGCGGCCGGCGCTCAACTTATATTAGCGCCTGCAAGACTGTAAGAATACTTCACGCATTGCGCCAAACAGTGCGGTCGGCGTAGCGCCTACAAGACTGCATGAATACTTCTCGCATTGCGCCAAATGCAGTGCAGTCGGTCAAGTGGCGTGACACGCATATCAGCGTCTGTAAGACTGTAAAAATGCTGCAGGACTGCGTGCCATCCTTCTTGACTTCCTGCTCCAGTTTTTACCATAATTACAGGGAAAATATGTAACCTCATTGTAAAGATTCAGAAATTCGGATGATCTTTAAATTTCTTTTGTTACATTAAAAGAAAATAGAAAAACGAAATCATCGCTGCAAAATTTTCGATACTTTTACTTGAGATCAATCAGGTAAATTCGCAAAAACTTTTCAGAAAAACTGTGTGTAGTGTTTTAAAAACGTATTAAAAATTAAATATAAAAGTTGTGCATAACGTTGCAATCAAAGATAAATATACGCTTTCTTTCGGGTGCACCCGTCGGGTTTTGAATCCGCATTCGTCTCTTAAAAAATTTGAGCATGGTTGTTCTACGACCTCCCTCTATTCTGCTGTGCTAAAGAAAAACGCCGTATGAACATTCGAGAGTCACCGAATTTCCTTCGATAAAATGTTAATTTTTGAGGACATTTATGAATATTTTTCCTTGGAATTTTCAGACACTTTATGGATCAAAGTACAAACAAAATTATCTGAGAAATCGGCAGAAAAATATTCAAAAAATGTCCTGAAAATTTGCAATTTGCCAGAGGAAATTTAGCAACGCCGAAAGGATCATAAGGCGTTTTTCCTTAGCAAGGCAGTATTCTGAATGCGTTTTTTCTCAGCGTTCATAGGAACCATGTGTCGCCTTCGATTCAACGGTATTTTCCCAATCAAAAGCGATAAAGAAGACCATGAAGAGGTGTAGACCGCGAGCCGCCAAGGCTAGTCCAAGTGAACTTGAACCAAGTTACCCCTTGAACAAGTGGCGAATCGTAATGAGGGCAGAACTTAACGTCTATGATGTTTGCTTTCAAATGTCAAGTTTTTATCGCCACCGATCGATTTCGCGCCTCGCCTCCTCAGCCGCACTTGTCACCTGCCGTTTGCTTTCCTTTTGAGACTCATTACTTTCATCGGCGAGGAATTCTGATGTCGCACAGTGGGTCGAGTCAATAGGAGATGTCGGACAAAAATTGGAGACTTTAAAAGCTTATACCTCCGTTAATACAAAACTTTGAGATTCTAAAAGTGGTTCCATTGGTTTCCTCGTAAAATTTTCTACTTCACGCACCTCTTGAAATTTAAAATAAGACGAAATAAACATCAAAATTTGCAGTTTTAGTAAAAAATGTCATGTCCGATCTGTCTAATTGGCTTGATCCAGTGTGCGTCATAGTCGTTCTCTATCTCGTTCTATCCAGCTCCTCATTATTTGCGATAAATTGATTAATCTGCCATTTAAACCTATGAAAATTGATCAACGTACAGGATATTCGCAACGAGGGCCTGAATAATCGATTCTTTACCATGATTTCAAATGGAAAAATATCGATAATCGATCGTTCACGCCTCGCCACTGCACGCCACACGCTCCGATATAATATCTGTATTTATAGAATACTCACGACCTAGGTGGTGAGTGAATCCACGGGACTAATGGGTCACTTATGCGTGTCATTGATTCGTGTTTTGATGATCGTGGTTTATGGACTGGTAAAAAATAATAATGCTCGTTTAAAGGCCAAGTTTTCGTGTCAAGTAATTTCGGAGATTTCGCTCGGAGTGTAAATGATGATGTCATCCATCAAATAGGCAACTAAACTATCTGCGGCGCGATGCGTATAGTACCGCTTAAAATTGCAGGCGCAATACTGTTACGTCTTTCTGAGAGTTCTTTGTTGGTCTAGGATTTTATGAGAAAGTCTAGTCCCACGGAGACCATCGATTGCACTAGTGCATAGCACTGTTCCTTATTATATTTCACAGTTTCATCAGTGGTAGATGAGTGTTCAAAGCAAATTAAAGTTAGCGATGATCTGTTGAAGTGGTCTAGACCATCAAGTGCACTTTCATGATTAAAATACGTTATCAAAATTAAGTTGACGAAAATAACTCTCTGGAATTTGCCTGGGTGCATTTATGATCTTCCTTCCTTGAATGATCAATATTTCCCCCTGAATTTTTGATCGAAACGTTACACTGGGCTCCTGCAGCACTGCAGCACCTGACCTGTCATAGGGACTATTTGGATATCTTCTTGCAATGAGGTATTTTCGTTTTGGCTCATCCATAGGTACAATCACTTGTTTTCACAAGTAATCAAATGGCGCATATATATTATTCTTATGATAAGCCCTAAAGAGTAAGTCCTCATTGCAAAATGTGGCTCATTTGGTTTACTTTAACAACCATCCCCCGTGGGTGTGTTGGAATACACTCGAACCCCTCCCCCCCCATCTCCATGCCGCACTTCTCAACGAACGATATCTCCATTAATATTGAACGTAGATATTCGGCGATCGGACAGACCTTGTTATTTTTCGCCAGTATAGAGGAACCGAATGTCAAATCACAATTCACTGACACGCATAACTGACCCATTTTCTCTTCGCGGTTAATGGGCCATTAAACTTGAACAGCCAATAAAGTCAAGAAGATATCTACTCCACCATTACTACAAGCTGTCTGACATCAAAAATTGTGTATTTTTGTCTGCGGGCTTTGTTAAGTCTGGAGACCTTTCCGACCAATAATTATGATATTTCGGTACACGGACTTTATGTCCACTTTTTTTACGTCCACAGACTTTTCGTCCACAATTTTTACGTCCACGGTTCTAAAGCCCACACTATTGTTAAGGCCATTACTTAAACGTCCACTAAGTTAAGTCCACAAATGTAAAGTCCACTACAATCAAATTCAAACGACATATTTTAGTCCGTGTGTAAAATTATATTGACAATATCGAAATGAGAAAATTAAGAGAGAATGAGGTGTTGTTATCGTAACTCATATTTTAAATGAAATGTTAATTTCTTCTTTTGATTCATCTTTTCAAATTGGTTTTGGTAAATACTTGGTTTCATTTCTATCCTTGAAGTTTCCGATGTAAAATATGCACTAAATGTACATTCTTTTTTTTTATGAAATTGATTACTTCATTTTAAAAACATTTACATTTTTAAAACGTGGTAAATATTAGTAAAACCTTTTCCAAGCAATGGCATCGCTATGAATCCCAATGAGCCGTAGTTGTGATGAAAGAAACTATACAAAATTTAATAAAAGAGTAAAAAACTAAGAAGCACGCAATTTTTTGTGTTATCGTGTACAACTTATTTGTACACCGACCTCCTTGAGTCAAATACGTCCAATTTTGAGCATTTGGTTGCGCTTACACCACGCTGCAGCACAGTAAAAGCCCAAAACATGAAAGAATAAATTTGAATGCTTTGGAAATCATTAAATTTGACACGGAACCATTATTATATTTCCAAAAAACACATTATATTTTCCAGTAGTACATATTTCTTTTTCATCAGTTTAAAAGGGAATAATCAATGCAGGGAGTGCAAACATCTGAAAATCATGAGTTGAAAAACGCTGACTCCGCGAGTTTAAATATTAGAGCCTAACACAGAGCGGAGCGGCGTGTTGGCAGCGTAGAACGCGCACTGGCGCCTACAAACCTAACGGGATACTTCACGCATTGCGCGACGCGTGAAGTATCCCGTTAGGTTTGTAGGCGCCTATGCGCGTGTCACGCTGGACGTCTGCCGCGCCGCAACGCTTTAAGCAACTATTTTGCGTCAGAGGCGTTGCACAGTATCCTACCAGACTGAAGGCGCACAAAATAACTAGTTAAAGAGGACTTTCAATTTTAACTGCATCTGTTACTGAAAAATGTTTAATTTGGCATTGGAGCGTTTCCTAAGCTCCCGCTTTGGTTTTTATCGTATCATATCCGCACAGAGTACACATGAACATATGTTTTTATCTGCTCTTAGAGTCTGTTCTCTTT